TGTATCAAAGTGTGTGTGTGTGTGTGTGTTTATAATGGCGTCGTGTTGCCAACATGCCAATTGCACATTAACGACATAACACCGTTATAAACAGAGGCAAGCAACCCTTCTTGCCACTGTCCTTGGCGCATACCTGTGCACACGCGCTTCAGCCCACATTTAATCAGGGCATGGCTGATTACACCGATTACGCATATTGATCAGCCATGACACGTAGCGACCATCATTCATAGCGGCCCCAAAACTCGGCAGAAGCGGCAACAACCGCCTCCCCAGCCAAGCCCTGAGCCGGCAATTAGCGTGAAATTACCTGGCAGGTCTCTTGTAACTGTGTAGGAGTAGGCAGAGATGCAGGAGAGAAGGGGGGGGGGAGCAATTGCAGTTTGAGCACATGACGCATATGCTATGCTCTAGCTAATTGGCCAGACAAGCTGGAGCTGCAGCTGTAGACGGAGTTGGAGCTTGTCTGCTGGTTGGCTCCTCGGGCAGTTCCGCATTTCAAATTAAATTGAAGACATTTTTTGGACAGCGCACAAAATCATAAATATTTCGGCGCCCATAAATGCTAATGAGGCGCCCATTGAACAATAATTGTTATTTCAGATGCACTCACAGCGGATGGGGTATTATGATTTTGTGAGACAATTGGTGAGATTACAAATTTTTGAATTATTTTTAGTTTAATTCAAAGTAGTTGCTCAGTTTTGAGGCATGATAGTTTCTCTTTAGAGCCAAGCGGCAGGCAGTTCTTCTCGCAAGGGTATTCAATATTAATTGAAATGTTGACGTATATTGTATTATAATAAATAATTTAAATCTTGTAAGCACTGTTGAAAGATTTGTTAAGCCAATTTGCAGCAATATCAATATTTATTTCCGCAAGGGTATTTAATATTCGTTGCAAACAGTCAGCTTTATGCTCTGGCATTTGGAATGTTGCTGTGTGCTGCTCACAGATTGCCATACTCGAACATATCCTGTAGTTTGGCGGCGCAGCGGGTGTTGCCAACTCTTGACTTGGCTGTGGGCGCGCGGGCAAGCCGAAATTCTTGCCGAGAGAATGGGGAAGGAGGGGCGGTATGGGGGCGCCACAACAATGCCGTTTTAATTTCGTGCTGCCTAAGGACACATGCCGACTTTTTTATTTTAACAGCTCATTTGTGAGTGGCCAGCCGGCCATACAAAGAATGCCACTTAAAAAATATGTGAAGAGAGAGAGAGAGACTCATAAACTACACAACATGAAAATATCGAAATTGTGGCTCAGTTTATGGCGGAGTTTAACGTTCGATACTTGAAATATTTGAGTTATTTGATACTTTTCTTCACACATTTCATTTTCCGGCTCTAATCGGGCCCTCGCCTCGATCGGGTGTATTAAACAAATTTCTTAGTTTTATGCTCCGCTGAACGCCAACTGTTTTAAGTATCTTTCGATCAGCGAGGCGCACATTTTTTCTCTTATCTTTTATTTATTTAAAAGAGTTTTGTTGTGTGCCGAGCAAATTGCTGCATGATTTTTTTATGATTTCTCAATGTATATATATATTTTTTTGTCAATTTTCGGAGCGCTCTTAATGTTTTCCACACTTGGCGCTTTTATGGTAGTTATTATGAATTCATTGATTAGATTTTACGATTTTGCAGCGGCATTGTTTGTCGCCAAGCGGGGTTTCAGATATTAAAATTAAAAACATGTCTTGGCTTTGAGTCTTGCTGGCATAAGAGATGCCCTCTACTCGGCACTAAAGTGCCTAACTTAGTATCGATTCTTATGCTATCTATATATAAATAATTTATAGGGAGGGAAAGAAAGCCAGGCGGACGAGGGAGATAGTCTAAAACTATTTTTGAAGAATATAAAAAAGATGCCAGAGAACTTTTAAAAAAAAATGTGCTCAAAAGATTAAAGAGTTTATTATGTTATATGAAACAATAAAAGCTGAAAATTCTAAATGCAAGCAAAAACTTCACTGAATTTCTTTTTCAAGAAAATCACCGATTGAAATCTTCAGGTTCCCAGCAATTACTTTATAAACTTACAAATGTCAACTTCTGTTCGATATTCCTAGCACAACTTTGAGATACACCCTTTTAAACGTTTGATGCTTACAGAGTATAAAAGTGTTCACATTGTCTTTGTTATTAAATAAACAAAAGCTTGGCTAGTATACAACTTCTTTGTTGAAACTCACTGGCTCTTCGTTTAAGATCTTCAAATTGTTTTTGAAATATGTACAAAATTAGAAATAATATTTTCCATCGATCGATGCGCCGCCTCCTCCGCCTGCCCGCTTGCCTGCCTTTATATAAATGCCACTAATTGTGGCCGCAACGCCCAATATTTAATTTTTTCCACCGAATAATTTTCACGCAATTGCCAGCCGCATGAAAACCGCAGGCATGCAATATATCCTTTACTCGCATCCTAAATGAATATCCTTCAGTGAATGCTTAAAAACTTTAATTGCAGTTAAACTACCAAACAAAAAAAAAAAATGAAACATTTCGGTGGCAGTAAACGCCCCGCAAAAGAACAACTGCAACGGAGGAGCCGCAGTCTGTTACAAAAGGTGAGAAAAGTATTACACAAAAAAAAAAAAATGGAATTAAAAAAAGGGCGGCACGGCACAACAAACCGCAAATTACATGCACATGTTTAAAGTCCGTTTAAAAAAATTAAAATAAGAAATAAAAAAAAAAAACAGAAAAGGTTTTCCGTTCTAATTCCTGCTGACCAGAGCAACGTGTGCGGCCATTTCAGTTGTCCTCCACTTATCATTTTGGCTGCAGGGCCCCCTAGCTGCCATTTTGGGAGCAAAGCGTTGCGGATCTGTCAGGCTTCAACTTGAACAGGTGTGCGCCGAGGGAGGCGCGAAAAACAACAAACAAACCGACAGACAGACAGGCAGACAGACAGAGAGTGGAAAAAACTGAAAACAGAAACCAAACAAATGTCTAACAAATGCGGATAACAAACTGTCAAAGTTTTGCGCTTATTACCCAAACAGCATAAAAAAAATAACAAAAAACAGACCAGTAAAAAAATTGGAAACTACACTTGTACATATTTGTATTTGCATGACAGGGTGTCCGGTACTGGACCCAGCCCCCTCCAGCCTCCCCATTCAGCTCCTTCCAGCCCCCATCTCCCGAACATGGACAGTTGTCGTCTGTGCCGTGTGCCCAGCGGGACGCGTTGGCGCTTTGTGCACTTCGCGTACTTGTTATACCCTGCACCAATTGCAAATGATTCGGGGTGGGCATATTGGTTTTGTGTAAGTATTTGTAACATGCAGAATTTATACCCTTCTGCCTGACTGTCACGTCGAACTTAGTTATTGTCTCTAAGCTAGAGTATTTCAATTCGCAACGTAGTTCCTGCAATTGCATTGTTTCCACGAAATCGATAAATATCGATATCTCCCTTAGAGTTTTTTAAACATATTCACATATTGAAACATCGTAATTTGAAATGTATATGCCCGTATATATGGATACCTCCATCTAGAGACTTTTTGTTTCGCACTTAGGACCTTCTCTTGCATTGTTTGCTCGCAATCGATAAGTATCGATTTTTCGTTTATGCGTTTTGAGCATTTTCGCAGTTTGAAGCGTATGTTTCTGTATATTTGGATATCTCCCTCTAGAGTCTTTAAATTTAGACTTGGTTATTTTCAGTTATCGTTTTTTAAGCATAACTCAAAACTTATAGAAGTACACGAAACTTTTTGAAAACCTAACTCCGCAAACTAAAAGTAGGGACAATTATAGCCTTGTCTTTACGATACCTTTACAGGATATCTGCAAGTCGAGCTCCCTAGAGGTCACTTGTTTCCCTACAGTTGTTTTCCGCTTTCATTTCCTTTCTTTTTTTTGAAGTTGTCTGCCAACTGCGCAGATTTTTCATAGCGCATCTGACTGCCAGTTGTCATTGGTAAGCATTTTCTTTTTATTTTCGGGCTTTCCATTTGATATGCATTGAAAATGTTGAAAGTATTTTGGAATGCCTTATTATTTATGGATGCAACAGTTAAGATATTACTGAAACTTAGCTAGTTTAAAATGTCAATCAGACAGACTACACATACATTTTTATCATGGAACTAAATATAAAGAATTGCTATGGTATATAAAAAGAAGTAATTGATATCTTGGCAAGCAAATGTGAAAAGTACATAAGATAAAGAAGCCAACTCTATAGTAATCCACATAAAAATCATATGAGCTTAAGCTGAGTTAAGAAAGTTAGAAGTCGGAAGATTGGGAAGAATCGTATAAGGGAATTCAAAAGTAAAAATTATATTTTTGACTTAATTTTTAACCAAAATCAAATCAGATTTCAAATAATCGAAAGGGAATGCTTGCCAATCGATAAATATTGAAACACGTATTTCAAATCGATATTTATGCCCTTAATATTTATTTTCAATTGCCCATCTATATAATATATATACTATGTAAATATATACTTTGTATATGAAAACCTTACTGAGTAAAAATTTGTAGGCTAAAAAACCAGACCAGGATCTTTTCTAATATTGATGCTGGAATGATTTATGAAGAAAGAAGCCAAAAATCCAAAAATGTGAAATGCCTAAACAATAAAGAATTCCAATCATGTATTAAATGGAATTTGTGAATACTTTCGGTTCGGTTTTAGCTGGTTTCTAGTGGAGAAAATCCGTGTCACTTGCGGAGCTCAGCTCCTAAATAGCCATTAAACTTGGCATCAACACATCTTGGCCAAGCACCAAGAATGCGGCATCATATGGCTGCGAACCCCTTTTTGCGTTCATATAGAATATGCCATGCGTATTTCAACGTTGGCAAGGACATTATAATAAACTTTCAACAGATATGGTGTGATTACAGTTGCCTGCAGCACACACACTCACGCACACACACACAAACACACACACACACAGCAGCAGCAGCAGGGCTGGCAATTGTCATTTATAAAATGAAAAATGAAAATTATATAAAGGCAACCCCCTTCACACACACACACAGACAGCAGCCGTAACTTTTGCTGAAGCTCATCAAAATTTGCTTCAACACGCCGCACACAGACACACACACAAAATGGCGACAAAAGCTGAGACGCACACACACACACACAGAGCGTAAGAGTGAGTGCGAGAGAGATGGAGCAATGGCCGCAGTGGAGACAGCCAGAGAAATGAGTCCCATGTCTTTCATTAAAACTTTCGGCAAATTATCGGGTAACATATGCTTGCGGCCTGATTGTCAAACATATATATATATATATATATTATATATATATATAGATCGTAGTGCGAGCTCTCCAGCCGCCCCCAGCCACGCCTCTCATTTGTATGATTGTCAGTGTGTGTAACACTTTGGCGCTTGAGTATTGTAAGGGGAATATACATATACATATATATGCGCTATATAAGCCAAGCATGAGAACTTTATATAAATATTAAAGCAACGTTTTTTCTTTGATTTCCTCGGGGAAGCCAGCTGCTAAGTAAATGTGGAAAAAAGAAACACAGCCGCCACAATGGACGCACAACATTTCCCCTCATTTTCCAGCATCCAGTCAAAGGGGGTAGGTGGGAAAAAAAAAATCAAATAAATTCGCGCAGGCGTTCTAATTTTAGAAAAAGGACTAAAAAGGAGGAAAACCACGCCGCACTCTAATGAATGCGTTTCCTGGCGGAAAGGACATTAGTAGTCCTATGTTAATTTGGTGCGCCTAATAAACTGCTACTTTTTGCCACACACACACACACACACACACACACAGAGAGGGAGGGGGACGACACCTGTTCCCAGCTGCTGGCTTTGCCGCGCCAAATTTGCCACTTCAACAGCTCCTTTGCGGCAAACGGCGTCACGTACGCGCTTCAAGTGAAAGCTGAAATTTTTGTTGAAAAAGGATATATGGGCACAGAGCTGGCGTTGTCCTGGCCGCGTGCCTCGCATTCCAAATGTGCGTCAAGGTGTGACGACCTGTCTGTGTGTGTGTGTTTTTGGCCATCTTGTCTATCCTATATTTCTTCTGTAATTTTTTTTTTTTGAAAATGCGCGCCACAGATAAAAATTCGTGCGGAAAGCATTTGTGTAAAATTATTGATTTTCCTTGCCCAACGCCCACTTTTCTTTTACTACCACTTTTTCTTTTTACTGGCCTTTTATGGGGTATTCTAATTTAGTCGTGCAATGTGTAACGCTTAGAAGAGTATCAAGATATCTTAACCAAGCTCGCCATTTATGAATTTCACTATACTCCCTACATATATGCTCCCTACATCTAATCAATATCTGATTACTATATCGTATAACTGCCATAGGAACGATGGCTCGACAAGTTGATTCTGATAGGGAAAGCTTTCTCTATTAATTCCATTATAATCCATTATCATATAGCTGCTATTCGAAAGTTAGGTTAAATAGTCGGATCTTATATGGAAATAATATTTTTATAAATATTCTTATTAAACTCTGCATTTGCCAGCTTCACTGAAGGCAAATGCCTGAAAGGGTATTCAAACTTCTGCGTGCTGAAAATAACCCTACTTTCTCGTTTGCTCTAAGTTAAGCTCTCAATCTGTGTGCTAGTGTGTGTGTGTGTGTGTGTTGCGGTTATTGCATTGAATCAATCAAATAATATTTCATGCACACACACACTTGGCAACCCTGTCCAACTGTCAAACAACACACAGCTCGCAAATGTAACTGTCAAACTGTTTGGTTTATTTATTTATTTATTCATCATATTTCTTAACTGCTTTTTCGCAGTTTTGACATCAGCCACGAGTCCATCATTTGCACCAAAAGTCACATATCAGAAATATATGAACATATATATGTGTACTCAAGTGACACGCGGCCAAAAAACTAAATTATCAAAGTAAACAGTAAAGAAATCAAGAAAGGTAACCCAACAACTTGACAATTGAATGACAAAAGAGACATCTTGGAGGAAAAAAACTAATAGAACATACCATAATAACAAGCTGAGCCTTGTCACAGCACCGGTAAGGTTAAGTAATCTATTCTTTTGATAGTTCCCTCAACTAGTTCAAGAGAAATGGCTATGTCATTCGTTTTAACATGTTCCTTGGCCTGAACTAGTTCTTAGAGCAAAAAATAATAATGTATGCATGCATGTATGTATGTATGCATGCATGTATGTATGTACGTGTTTGTGTGTGTACGTGTATGTAAGTATCCGGACATGTATTCATACATGTACGCATGCATGCAAATATGCATACTGCATATGTACAAAAAAACATGCATACAGGTATGTACAAAAAAGTATACATATGCAAACTTAAAACATCGCCCTACAAATCTTTGAACCACATTTCTACCGGTAAAGCTTGGAATGTACGAAACCTGTGAAACTCGTCTCAAATAATTCTACATATAGAGATGGGTTTGAACGCGAAACATCATCCACCAAATCTTTGACCACCATTTCCACCATTTTTCGAGAGGTGTGAAACATCATTTAATAGAATTTGAGACATGCGGGTTAAAAATCCTGAAACCCCGTCTTAACGAGCACCTTCACCACATAGGGTAAATAAAGGTGAGCAATTCAGATTCCTAGCTCTTACGGCTTGTATGTTGATCACGAATCAGTCAGTCAGGACAAAAAGTTATATATAGAGGTAATCTGTTTATGCACTCCCGCACTTGTCTTACAGAGTTGCCACCATATGGAACAAGATTTCGGTCCCCGTTTGAAATCAATAGCAGCTGAAAGCGCGCAGAGTACACGCATCCGCCTCAAGAATCGCATTAAATAAAACGCTGGCAATCGCTTTATTAGCAAACTGGCGAACGCACTGCTGGCCAATAATTTAGCTGACCCGGGTCGTTGGCAATTGATCCTCGGTGAGGCACATCCGTTCCGGCCGTAAACAAGTTAAGCATAAGCCGATACAGAAAAAAAGTATTGATTGCACATAATTATAGGATACCCAAACGAGACGCCCCAGTTGCGGCCCTAGCCCACATCAAAAAGTGAAAAGTGAACTCGGCAAAATGCGAAAAAAAATAATCAAAAATTTCGAACGCATAACTTGACCAACATTTGCGCATAATTAAGAGCGGCAACTGGTTTAGAGCTGCATATACCGATTTTTTTTTTAAACCGTTTTAATGCGAAACGCATAAAAATCGGAAGTTGCAGCTTTAAATTTAATGCGCTTACTTTAAAGAGTGTTGAAAGCGCAGCGATCAAATTGCCAGCATGCAGCAAGTTGGCGGCAAGTGGCAGCCAGGGAGTCAGATTGCAACCACACATAAAGCGGGAAACATTTTGGCATGGCTTTTTTACAAAAATTGTTTAAACAATTTGAAAAGTGCGCGGCAGCAAATAACGTATTTTTTTTTTAAAAGATTCTGATGCTCCTCACTTAACGAAACTAATGCACACCTAACGAAAGCTGCTCCACTAACACAAGCGGACAGCTCTGATATTATGATCACCACTAACACAAGCTGGCAGCTCTGAAATAGTGAACACAACTGAGCCACATTTTACAAACTAATGCTCACTTAACGAAAGTACCCCGGCCCTGACAAAAGCTGACAGCTCTGTTATCATGAGCACCATTGAGCAACAGATGTCGCTACTCGCTCCACACTTAACGAAAGTTACCTAGCCCTGACACAAGCTGACAGCTTTGAAATATTGAACACAACTAAGCAACAGATGTCACCACTCGCTCCACACTTAACGAAACTAGTGCTCACTTAACGAAAGCTTCATGGCGCTGACACAAGCTGACTGCTTTGAGGTAGTGGACACAAATAAGCAACAGATGTCGCCACTCGCCTGCCAGGTTGCCCGGCAACCGTTTGAATTAATCAAAACAGAACTTGACAAGTGCAAACTTCCTTACGACAAGCCGTAAGTCAATTGAGAAAATCAAATAAAAAAATATGAAATTCATACCTCTGCATACGACAAATACGTCGATTGTGTACAAGAACTCGCTATGCTCGCTGGCATCGCTGCTGGTGCTCGTTTTCATAGCCTTGTCCGTGATGCTGCCCGTTTTATTGGTATCACTCTTGAGCCCCTACTCCGGCATATCCGAGTCACGTATGTTATATGAACAGCCCGTCGTGCAGTTCAAATATCAATACATATTCGTGGCAAACATGGAGTCGAAGCTGGAAAATGCAACGCTAGAAGAGTCCTTTTTGGGCTGCAGCAGTTTTGGCAACTTGAATGCGCGCCTGCAGAACTATTCGAGCCGCTGCGAGGCGACAAAATATTGGACACAGGATTTGGATTACGATACGGTCACGGATCGGCTACATTTCCAGCTGGAGCTGCAGCAGCTGCCCGCACGCCTGATGAACTTTGATTTGTTGCTGTTCTTCGAGGCGCAGCTGCGGCACAAGTGCGTCCTCAATCCGCCCGCTGTGCTGGCGCATCAGCTGCAGCTGCCACAGGCGGCACGTCTGCAAAACGGACGCATCCAGCTGAAGGGCGAACTGAAGCTGAAGCAATATGTGGAGTTCACCTGTCCGTTTCCGGGTCGCAACATCCAAACACACTTCCGCCAGGTGCAGCTGGACACGAACAACAGCCAGGCGGACATGTCGCAGTATAAGATGGAATCGCTGCTGGCTCAGGTTAAGGCAAATCCAGCCTACTTTCAGCTGTCCGTGCAGGAAACTTATTACAGGCCCAGTGCGCCGCGCTTGGAGCCCGGCCTGAGCATCGAACTGGAGTTGGATGTGCTGCAATTGCCGGCACGCTATCATTTGAGCATTTGGGAGCGTCTGGGTCAGTTCTGGTTGTATTTCGCCTCATTCTTTGGCATTTCGTTTTATCTGATGAACAAGTTGAAGGATTTTTTGTTCGGCCGACACATCATACGCTCCTGGGAGATAATACCATGGAAGAAGCTCTACTGACACGAATCGGGCGCCATACTCGAAATGGACGACTTCTCGATAGGCGAATGAGACAGCACATATTACAATTTCAGTCAATGTGTAAATTAAACAACAATTATACAAAGAATTTAAGCGGTGCGCGGATGATGTCTTGTGGGGGATTTCCTATTTGTCGCGACTATTCGACATAAGCGCCAAATTGCCGAATGCCGATGAGGAACGCTCTGGCGTGGGATCGTAGGCGCGATTATCTTCCAAAACGATGGTGGTGCGTGGGTAGTGATCCAATTGCACAAACAAGTAACGAAATTCAAGTTTGCCTGTCGAGTTCTAGGCACAAAAGGAAAGTAAACAATTACACAAACATATATAGATATAGATAAAAGCACATGACGCACCCTTCTCGATTCCAGCTGTACGGTGGCCTTATTGCGCAGTCCCTGCACGTAGAACTGCATGCGCATGTGGGGCACACCATTGCGCTCGAAGCTGCTGTGGGCCACATGCTGGCGGCGACCACGACGCGACGTCTCACCAAAGCCCTTAATGGGCGCACCTATGGCGTCCTGTACACGCGGATCCTCGACCACACGTTCCAGGGCCTTTGAATAAATATTGCACGAGCTCTCCTTGGAGAATAGCTCACGGAAAATAGCATAAAACATGATGCCTGTCACACCTAGTCCGGCCAAGATAATGGCCGTATAGCTGGCTGTCTTTGTGTTCTCCTTGATTTTTTCGCCAA